AGCTACAAAGAACTGCAATGGGGTGAGACCTAGCGAAGAGTAAGCGCTTTTCTTTTCTGAGACGGCGTCTCACTCTGTTGGCCAGGCTGGAGTGCAATGGTGTGGTCTTGGCTCACTGCAAGCTTCATCCCCCAAGTTCAAGTGATTCTCCTGCCTCAGCCTCCCGAAGAGTTGGGATTACAGGCACCTGCCACCACGCCAACTAATTTTTTATTTGATTTGATTTTTAGGAGAGATGGGGTTTCACCATGTTGGTCAGGCTAGTCTAGAACTCCTGACCTTATGATCAGCCAGCCTTGGCCTCCCAAAGTGATAGGGATACAGGCATAAGCCACCGTGCCTGGCCAGTTCTTTACTTTGCAAGTGCATAAGCTTCCAAGACACCATAATATCACTATTAAAATATGCTAATTAAATATTCTAAAAGCAAAGAATGCACACGCCTCTGAGTAACGAGCAAATCCGGTCATGTCTGGAAAACGTGCCTGCATGGTGCTCCTTTCTGTAGAAGCTCAGTGCATGCAAGTGGCAGAAATACATGGAAAAAGAAACACGTTCTTTTAAACATGGGCCCCTGGCACAGCTAAGGCCTTTCTTATTAAGTTCTTACCTTAAAACCATCTTATCACCAAGTTGTAAATGTAAATTCTGTGCCTAAGTGTCCCTAACCACATGGCCTTAAAGGTGACCTGGCTTATTCTATGCAACTCATAAGGCTGAAATAACAGATATAGCATATTTCTACCCTGTAATCAGACACTATACCTTTTCAAAAAGTATCTACAGCTGGGTGTGGTGGCTCACACCTGTAATCCCAGCACTTTGAGAGGCTGAGGCAGGCGGATCACCTGAGGTCAGGAGTTTGAGACCAGCCTGGCCAACATGGTGAAACTCTGTGGCTACTAAAAATACAAAAATCAGCCAGGCGTGGTGGTGCACACCTGTAGTCCCAGCTACTCGGGAGGCTGAGGCAGAAGAATCGCTTGAACCCAGGAGGTGGAGATTGCAGTGAGCCGAGATAGTGCCACTGCACTCCAGCCTGGGCAATAAGAGCAAAATTCTGTCTCAAAAAAAAAAAGAAAAAGAAAAATGTACTCTATGCCAAGCTACCAAAAACAAATAAAAACAGAGACCCTCAAGTTCCAAAAAAGCAGAAATTAGACAGGCCACAGCCTCCAACTGCAGTGTGACAAAATTAGTGCAAACATTAGACAAAAACACTGGCTACTTGGAAGTTAAGACACTCATCCTATTTGCCATTAAAACTATATCTGAAGCCGGGCGCGGTGGCTCACGCCTGTAATCCCAGCACTTTGGGAGGCCGAGGGGGGTGGATCACGAGGTCAAGAGATCGAGACCATCCTGGTCAACATGGTGAAACCCCGTCTCTACTAAAAATACAAAAATTCAGCTGGGCATGGTGGTGCGTGCCTGTAATCCCA